AAAAAATGCAATTGTTCAGTCTTCTGGGTTAGAGGGTGTGTGGTGGTGAGTGGCACACAATCACGCGGTCACCGGTTCAGACCTCGCATTATACGCTTAAGCCAACAATGCCCCTATCACTCCAGGATCGATAATTGGCACCAGACTCGTCCGGAAGAGTAAAGCATTGACTTGAACATCGGTTGGCCACCGAAAAATGCTCCTCGGCCGGGAATTAAACCCGGGTCTCTTGCTATGGTAACATATGCATCCAATACGCCACGACAATTCTGAAAGGAGGTCGAGTACAGGGAGCGTCCCATTACGGAAATTCACGAACGTCTGAAGACATCACCCTTCATCAGCCTGTTTGGGTGATCCAAATTTAATTGTTAGGTTATTGTACTGTGTTTTATTCCACGCCGTAATTATGAAATTCATCCATGTTCAAGATCGGCCAGTTTCGGTTTTTGCACTCACATTCCATGAAAAAGAATGGTGTTTTGTCAGAGTAATGAAATATCTAAGACAAATTCAGGTGGTGGTCAATTCTGGCTCACTCTATTATATGTACTACGGCGAAACATTCGATACACCTCAATGGAATGCGCGTTCGATGCCAAGCAGTACTTATCCGCGATCGAGTGTGGTATTGATAATGATGCTGGTAATGAATTTCATCGCTCTACTGCTGACAATCGTCCTGTACTTTTTCAGCCGCAAGCGAAGAAGGACGTAAGGCTTTAAAACATTTAAATCTTTTGCAGCACCGAAAGGTGAACTGCTCGAGTGACTAGAAATGTAAAAACCAAAGTATTGGTAGATGCGATTAGACGCAAGTTTATTCCGTGGTCCCAGTAAGCTACCAAATCATGCACGTCGTAGTGGCACCATCTGACACTAAAACATCTTTTACTCGCTTCAGCTTGCCCTTAATATAATCAGGCCGAGGAACTTGTGGGAGAGACTGAAAATTCCCATTTTTTGTAAAACAATACACTTTGTAGTTCCTTTGTTCACTTAATCTTGCTGGCGAGTAACATCGACAGATATATCCTATGAAATCGCTATGTATATTATATCAGATTTGAGTAAACACTATCAGCGATTTCGAGAAGAAGAGTATTCTAACTCTGCAAAGCTTTACTTATAGGGAATCAATTTGAGCCGTCGAACCTTCACCATCTGTTCCAAAACATTATTTTCCACTTCGGCTTATTAAAGTAGGGCCAATCGGGCGATTTTGTGTGAAATTTCAAAGTAGTGGCTCTGTAAATGATGCGCATAGATTTCAAATCTGGGAATTTAACTTATTTCCAGGATGACGTTATCTTCGAAATTCCAAGCGAATGAGAACGCAATCGTATCCAAACTGCTCTTCCAGACCGCTTCTACTCAAATCACCGTTTTTCTTCTCACACAATTGATTGGTTTATACCTAAGAGCCTATCAAACTGGCAATCCATTGCGAGCTGCATACAGGGAAAATTCCGATGTGAGTGGATTGCGAAAACTGGACTGATGAATATGTTAGAAGGGCAGAACTGAACTTTGGTATTCATTGTCGTACATAAAGGCACAGTTAGCGATAACTTCAGGTTACTCTTTTTCAAGTTTAAAAGTGGAAATGGAGCAGTACATACGTGGCCAAGAAAGCGAGAAAATCCGCCTACTTTGTGAAAAACTAGTCCTTTCTAAAGCGGCGGAAATCAAAAAAGATTATCCTGACGGAATAGCATGTAAGGGTTGTTTGGACGAGATTTTACTTGCTCCAACTGCGCGAAAAGCTAACTTCATCAAGCAAAATTGTCCGGAACTACCTTTCATTATCACCAATGTTTATGGCATATTGTTGGAACTTTCTACATCGGAGTTTTTTGGGATAACGCAGTCTCTACCACGCCATTAAAACTCGTCCACTGGTATTCACACGACACAAACTCTGATCCCTTATTGTGCCCTTATTTAGGACGTGTTTCGACTTTATGACGGCAGTTATGGTATAAAGCGGGTTTTGAAATTCATACCGTGGAGGAACATTAGAAACCATCTTTTTCGTGAACTGCGCCTTCAAAAAACACGTATGAGAGATAAAATTCCAAGAGTTGTTCAATTACTCACTATCGCTCACGATTTCCATGCGGAATCATAGGAGGAGGAGGAGGAGGGGGGGGGGGGGGGGGGGGGGGGGGGGGAGAGGGGTATCGAACATGTATAGCCTATACAATGATTGAGATGGGAAGTCGATGTGAAAGCAGAGCTTTTATTCTTCCAGGCAAATCTGTTATCAAGTAGCCGGCTTTCGATAATAAGTTATAATAATATGTAGTAATTGCACATTCGCATCACATAACACCTGAAGCCTTTCTAAGAGCATCCCCTGAGCAATCGTAGCCAACCGAAGTAAAACTCTAATATCAGCAGATCTCTCCTCGCAAACCTTCGAAGAATGAATCCATCTTCGGCGGATATGTGCCTTCTGATACATGAAAATTCCCAAAATGTCGTAAAAATGAATGCTACCGCGCTCGGGTGAGCATGACTATCGTCTAGAATTTGAAACTTGGTGGAAGCGCCAGAAATTGTGAGCTTTTAAGAGAGTGTTACCATTTCTGTCCATGGTCTCTCTTAGGAAATAGCTCCATGCCCCTGCCTAGCAAAGATACATCTCAGCCTTGGGAAAGGGTGATCTTCATTTTCAACCGCTTCCTGAAAGTTGAAATTTCCTCAAGTGCTGCAGTGGTCAAAGCCCTGCAAATAACTTGTTTGTTTACAAAGTCAATCTCTTATAAAGAATATTTCAGCTATTCAACTACTACACCTTAGTACAGCCAATTCTGTCGACGATCTACTTTGCAAAAGTGAAACGAAAGCGAGCCAAAGATATCATAAACAAAATCAACGTATGTACATACATTCATATACTTATGGTAGTAAATGGTGGTTGATGTCCCCACACTTTTGAATTCTTCAATTTTCAGATGAAAGCGACAGGAAATGAAGGGTGGAAGAACTATTCGATCATACTTCGAAATCAGTGGAAATAAATTCGGCTTGACTGTTATTTTTCCCTTCAAACTTACGGCTTCGCTCCCAGTACTTATTTGCTTTGAATCTGCACCAAATCTTTCCGATGACTTTTTTATTTGTTGTGATGCAAATATGCAATGAGTCCAACTCAATTCAGCTTAGGCCACTCTTATTATAAAGGTTTAATTCGGAACTAACGAAACCGTAACGGTATAAACGGAAATCCTAAAATTGAGAAAAGCTGCTCAGCCTACGGGATTTTCAAGAATCTCAGGCTTTGCTCGAGTTGTTTCCGTAGTCTCGCTACCCATGAGCGATCAGATCATAAACGGGCATCATTTTCACCCTTCAATCCCATATTCCATCTCCATTCTTGCAATAAAGTCCTCAAACCCGGCCGTAGCACTACTTTATCCTCTTAGCACGCAAGATTGGCACCAATGAGCCGACCCCAGACGAATGCTCCCCGTACCTTTGGCGTGTGATAGTGCAAGACCTGTCAGTCGTAGAATATAACTCGTTCTTGGGATGATTTACCAGTAAGTCGTGTTTCCTTTTTCATCCTATTTGTTCTTATTTCTCGATCCTTCCAAGGAGAATATGTTTTGATTTTAATATTATACAGACTTGATCGGTTATCACAGCAGAATAAATCGTAATTCATAATGGATTTTACGCATGTTTATCGAACAGAACTTCTTTTTCCGTCGTGGCCATTGAAATTATGCTGTACCTTAAAAAACTTTTTGGTGGGAATTAAAACGGTTCCTGAAAAATTTCTCAGGAGGACTAGCGAAGCACATCGCAATTTCACGAAATTTTGGAGAAAAACCACAAGAATAACTCCCAATGATTACGCAAATCACTACTTGTTTTCTATTCAGTTGTGCACCGTCAGTTGAATTTGAGTTGTTTTACTTTTTCATATGTTGTTTACCTTAACAAACCATCACGGAAGTCAAGATCGAAGGGTACCATTTGGCTAAACGTTCCGCATTTAATGCGTACCTGGTTGTTCGAGTTGCTTAGTAAGTGAAAATTTTGTATTGAGTGCCGACCACTGCAACAAACGGAAATTCTATTTCCAATACACTGTGGCCCCTTCTTTTTGCTCCTTATTTTTTAGTTTCTGAATGACATCTACTGTGAATTGTGGCAAACCAGAAGAGCTATTCTATCTCTTCAGGAAGAATCAGAAATTATTTATAGCTATTAGACCAGACATAACAACAACAAAACAAAGTGCTGGCTTTATAGAATTTTGCGCGCTGTAGAATCATATTGTACAACTTGTAGGTGCACATGAACAGTCGATTCATAATCTAATCGATAACTAGCTTTGTTAACACTGTTTTTGGATTGTTATTAGATATAGAAAGTTGGAATATCACTCAACAAAGAGGGAGCAGAGAAGAAGGCAAATGACATTCGGCGCTTACCTTTTCGACGTTGCTGTCCTTCCTGCTTTGACTTATATACGCCTACTAGACTTGGACTCTACGAAAACGGATGATGGCAGCGTTACGCAACGCGCTTTGAAAAGGACGATGCTCGGAACATCCCTATACAAGCAAGTGCAAAGAGAATCCGGAGTTTCTAGCTCCGTCATCGAACGAAGTTCAGGAATGCAGTTGATTACGCCGAGTAATCGAGGAAGGTCAGGTGGGCCTAACACGTTATGCGATATGGTGATGTCGATTGGAGCGGAGCGGTTAATAAATGAGTCCTCTCTAGGTGGCCGCCAGCGAGGTGGTCAGACTATTTCTCGAAGCTCGTGAANGAACTATTCTGGCTCGCGCCAGGGATGGAGGAGGGGAGACGCTACTGTCGAACACTCAGGGGGATCTATGATCAATCGGGCGGCAGGCGATAAAGGTGGTGACAGAAATTTGGAGTGCGTGGTTAAAAAGGATCCCTCTGTGCATGGTTTGAATATCCATCTCGTACTTGGACTATTCTCTGTCAACTCTCTCAACCTTATGAACTTGTTTTCGCTGCTCATATCCTCTAATTGGAACGTTTCCTATCAACAACATGCGCTTGTATGTTGTTAATACGTAATACGTGGTTCATTAGCATTCCACAAGCGTTTGACTCTATTGTATTGTAAAAACTTACACAGCATTTTCAGAATAGGCAGCTATTCATCCTTCCCGAGAAGGTGGGAGCTTCCAGAGTGAAGCCCATGTAATCACATCAAAGTTGCACCAAAATCACAACGTTTAGACTTCGTAGTCCAGTTTTCTTTGGTTTTCGTACTTGATCTTACAATGCTGACGCCAGGACACTGCCGCTTATCCGCTTCGTTTATTTTCGAATGCGGTGACGGTGCGAGGCGAGTGAGCCGTGGATTCAATTTTAGTGATTAAAGGTTTTTCCATCACAGCTACTGCTTGAATGTTTGTTGTTTGTTTTTTGCCTGCTGACTACTTCATCTTTTCGTATCCCTCTAATAATATTTGACTACGTCAGAATCGCAACCATTTTTGATTTTTCTACTCTTAAGCTGCTTCGGTTTATGGCTACACCCATATCACTGCAGCAAAACTTGAACGACTCCTACTGCATTGAGGTATCGGTTAAATCTCATGTTTTTCTCAAATATTGACATAAAAGTGAGCACCTTAGCTTACTATCTCCATTCAAAATTTCCCGTTTAATTTTATCCATGGCCTCTCGTTTCTAATCGTGTAGAGTTGTTAACAATAACTTCGATAAAAAAATTTCCTCGCGAAAAGTTCTACCGAAACATCCGGCAAATTCACCGACAGTTATCTGCTCCCGCGAGCTCCACAACAAATTCCCAGACCGAACAATGTGAAACTTACTGCTCCTGAACTGCTAACAAGGAAAGGGAATTAGCCGCAGAGACTATTCGAGACGGGCTGTATGCCATCGTAGATGGTTCTGAATGCTGACATCGAACTTCGAAACGCATTTCATGGTTAATGAGTCAAGGAGGAAACTCGAAGATCCGGAATGAATGCAATGTTCACAGACCCACCACGCTATAAGCTGTGCCAGCACTGCAGAGATACGTTTTTACTCGGTACGGTCATCTCCTCGCTACAGTGATATAACATAGAGGGGAGAGGAAAGTGCGGCACAATATCCTTTCATTGTAAACGTAGAAAAATTGTTAGCTATATCCGTTAAGAAAATTCGGGTTTTTCTCCAAGAAATTTTTAACATTTTCCAGCGAGGTGTTCTCACTGCTACTACAACATACTACCGGGTTTCGCTACTTATTGCACTAATTGTCTCAATCATGTCGGCAATCTTCATGATCAACTTTATCATTCGATACCACCGAGGCAGTCTACTTTTCCATAGTAACCTGCGGGTTTGTTCTAAACACTTACAGATAGCTTCAGCAGTAGGCTCTCAGACGTTAAATAGTGAGGAAAAATACTACCAATAACTTATAAAGCCTGAAAAATTTTAGATATTGTATTTCTTCCTATGCATTTGCTGTTTTTCATACGACATTTTCAATAATGTAGCAAAGGTGAGTCGAAAACAGATTTTTTCATCTTCCATGATTTATTTAGTTGTAGCGTTTATTCAATCATTTGTGTGTCATTAAATGCTAACCCCAAATTTAGGCTCATCACCTGACCGTCTCGCTTCTGTCTGAATCCCCATGTCAAATCTTCATGCCAAAATATTTCTATATGGCTATAAGTTTGCCGCTATTTTTTTCAATTAATGGAGCACAGTTTGCCCAGATATCGATAATCGCTGAAAGACTGGCTGCAATCATTTTTGTTCGGAACTACGAGTCGGGATACAAAAGACTAGGACCGGCTCTAGTTGCAACAGTGGTGAGTAGCACCCTTGAATTGAGCAGTTTGAAGATTTAGAAGCATGCCAGTCGAAAGTTTATTTAAATGTTTCATTTTCACGATAAAGAAAGCTGACTTTTCTGGAACAAATCTTAATACATGAGACGAAAAAATCTTTTTTTAATGAGAATTGTCGGTGACGGGAATTTCACTTTTTTACAGGTCACGGCCAATTTCTGTACACTCTATTACATGTTTTACGGTGAAACGTTCGATGCTCCTCAATGGAGTGCTCGTTCCTTGCCTATCACTTCATTTCCGCGATCAAGTTTAGCGCTCTTGGTTATGCTCATTATGAATTTCATATCCCTGCTCATAACTGTCGCCTTGTACATCTTCAGTCGAAGCCGTAGAGAAAGGTAAAGGCTAGAATTTTTCGAAAAACCAAAGCGCCAGAAGGAATGGGCTATAAAAGCAATATAAAATAATTTAAAATCATCAGCTGAGGGAGCAACATCTAATCGTGAGGCAATGATCGGTCTGGCATAATCAGTTCCTTCCAGGGTTAACTCAGAGTCAAATTCTATTCAAGATTGTCAGCGCTCCAATCTCAACGCGAAATTATTGAATTGTGTGACTAACCGAGGAAAAATAAAAGCATTTTCACGAGTCTGATACCAAATCTTTGGAGAGACCGCGGTTTGCTTGGTTCAGGGAGGTCCCAACCTGTTAGTTATTCCACTCTTCACCTCATATTTGTGCGGAGGCAACACTTCTTTACGGCAGTAATTCACTTTCACCCCGGGAAAGGATCTCACCAGTCGTGCACCCGAAGTGTAATGTGGAATGTGGCTCAAACTGTGTCATAAAAAGTGAGGTGCACTTGTATCGGTCGAAGCTGACTTCACTGTTAGGATTAAATAATCACTCAACAAAAAAAAAGCCCAGTGTCATCAAGTGGTAATAGCAGTAACCACTTTGGAAGCCTGAAATAGATATATCAGTAAACCGCAGTACATGGATACCCTTGATCCCTTGAAATAAATCTTTTTATGACTGCCAACAGTGACAGCTCAGGTTTATTAAAGGTTACTTCATGAAGTCAAAAATGTTGTGGACCTAATGGCTTAGGAATTCTTAATCTGTAATGTATGGAATTGGAACATTTTCAGGATGACGTTATCATCGAAATTCCAATCGAATGAGAATGCAATCATGTCAAACTTGCTTTT